GAACACACAAGAAACAACTAATACGATCTTTGAAAAGCCAAAGAAAAAAACGAAGAAAATTTGTATGGAAGAGGAGTACATAGAAGACGAGTCTGAGTCACAGAACGAACAATTGTATAACAAAAGAGATCACTTTTGCTTTGATGAGACTATGAAAAGAAACAACAAATTGCAAAACGAAGGAATTGATTTGACAATGGCGGTGCAATATAAGAAGGTGTACAACTTTTTAAAAATTTACTGTCGAAAATAGGATTTTTATTCTACATCAAGATAATAACAATTATAGACTTGTTTATTCTTTGAAACCAGTTCGTTTTTAACTTGGATATTTTTATTTTATTATTAAATTGAATTTTTATTATAAATTTACTAATTTTTAATGTGTTTGAGTTAAACTAAACAATTGAATGTTTTTATTATTTTTTTATTATTATAATTATTATTATTATTGTTTGTTTTTTAATACAATTGAAAGAAATAACACAATGAAAATTATGGGGAAATGTCGATTACTTCAACTCAATGTTAAAAATTTTATAACAAACACAATCTATTATTAGTTTTTGATATGTGGACAATTTTTAATATTATTAAATAAAAATCAACAAGAAATTATAATTTTTAATATATATGTTCGTTTCAACTTATGTTGTTATAATTTTGTACAATTTCTGGTTTAATATCAATTGATTTTGTTATGTTCATTACACAATTTACAAACAAAATTATTTGAATGTGTTTTGAAAATCACCAAATTTTTTGTTAATTGAATTATGTGAAAACATAATATAACTTGCCAAATCAATATATTTATATATAATAATAATAAACTATATAAAAATATTTTTTTTATAATTATTTATCTGTGTTTAGTTGTATGAAAAACAATTAAATGAAAATGTAAAAAAAACATTAGATAAATTATATAAAATTTTTATGAAGACTCCATTCATGAAAATTAAAAGTTTGATTACTTTTATATATTTTTAGAGTTTATTAAAGTTTATTTTCATATTACATTCACTTGTTTATTTGTTAAATTTTTAATTGTTGTTTAGTCTTGATTGAAAATATATAATTTCAACATTCGTTTTAAAAAGTACATTAGTATGTATACAATAAAAGTATTTGAAACGAATAACAATACTTTGAAACGCTTATAGGTGTTTTTTCTTCTAAAAACACATAATAAAAAACAACTTGGAAATGTTCATTATTTTGAAAAAGGTATAAAAAGGTATAATTCAAACTCGAAATCACCAAATGCAAAAATTCATTCTATTAACAGTAATTGCGTATGCCGTCTTCGCAGCGGAATGTACGACTCCGATTGAAAACTGTGGGAGTTGCGACGAAGAAACAAAAAGTAAATGTGTAAAGTGTTCAGATAGTTATTTGTTGAATCTTGACAACACTTGTAAAAAGACTTGTGAAACTGGTAAAATTACAACTGAAACACCAACCACATGCGTTAAATGTACCGATGAAATGTGTGCTGTTTGTTCAGATGTAACAGCTGAAGGAGCAACAGAATCGACTGAAGAATGCACAACATGTTTGGGTGAAGATATGTACCTCAATGTGTACAAGACATGTGGAAAATGTGAAACTGGAATGAAAGTTACAGAAACCAAAAAATGTGAAACTGTTACTATAGAAAATTGTGATGCATCAACAAAAATTGGAGAAACAGAAACTTGCAATAAATGCAGTGAAAATAATTATTTAAATCAAGGAGCTTGTGTTTCTGCATGCCCAGAGAGCACAACTTTAAATGATGATAAAACTGAATGTGTTGCTAATACTCCTCAAACATGCACAGTTGAAAATTGTGAAACTTGTGCCGAAAATAACAATGAAGTCTGTGTCAAATGTAAAGAAACATATTATTTGGATTTGACTGGCAAATGTGGGTTGGACTGTCCCGAAGGTTCCAAGAAGGATGAAACGAACATGAAATGTGTTGCTGATACTCAGACGTGCACAGTTGAAAATTGTGAAACTTGTGCTGAAGGAAAGACTGACGTCTGTGCCAAATGTGCAGCTACATATTATTTGAGTGAAGGCACTTGTGTCACCCAATGTCCTGAAGGCACTGTTAAAAATGACGAAAAAATGGAGTGTGTTGCTGATACTCCTCAAATATGCAATGTTGATAATTGTGACACCTGTGTTGAGGGAAAGACTGATATCTGTAATAAATGTAAATCCAACTATTATCTTCAAGTTGACCAAAAAAGTTGCGCAACAGACTGTGCAAGTGGATATAAAGACACAACAAACATGAAATGTGTGAAATGCACAACTGAAAATTGTGTCTTGTGCAGTGAAGATCAAAAATGTACAACTTGTGTGGATGGAAATTATCTTACAGAAGATTTGAAATGTGTTTCAACTTGCCCTGAAGGATATGAAGCAAACAAAGAAACTAAGAAATGTGTAAAAATCACTTGCAAAGTCGAGAACTGCAAGACTTGTATCGAAACTGATATCAACAAATGTGCAATTTGCAACGACAATTTGTATGTTGTAGAAGACACTTATAAATGTGTTGCCAAATGTGATAGTGGATACAAGACCGATAGCACAGCTGGTGCTTTTGCTTGCAAAAAGTGCAGAGTCTCAAATTGCGCCAAATGTGATTCAAAAGTCGAGGAATGCCAACAATGCAGTGGGGACTATGACGTCAAAGATGGAAAGTGTGAGAAAAGAAACGATGATGCCGCAAAGAGTATTTTCGCTTTCTTGGCGTTGGTAGCCATTTTCTTGATGTTCTGAGATTTTTAATTAAGAACTTCTTTAAATATTTTAATTAATACTTTTTTGAAAAGCTTCGTATTAATTTTGTCAGTGTACTATATAAAATGTGTGTTTTGAAATTATAAAGACAATTAATTAATATAGTAAGTTACACAACGAATAAATTTAAAATTTATTAAAAATAAATTCAATTAATATCAATATACAGTCAAGGTAAAAAGTGGGATGCTGAGAAAAAGGCGGATGCTAATCAAAATATAAATTTATTGGTGTTTTTCGTTTTATTAATTATTTGAATAATTATTAATATTAAATTTTATAGTAATTATATAAATAGTAATAAAACTGGGATGCGGGTCTTTAATTAAAACTAAAATATAAACTATATTCCTTTTTGATTTAAAAAATGAATAAAATCATACAAATTTGAGTGGTTTTATTCATTTTTTAAATCAAAAAGGAATATTTTATTTAAAAGTTTTAACAAACCAATAAATAGAGTTGAAACTCAAAACTATTATTATCAAATGGAACAACAATATCACCCGTTTGTACTTTTAAAGAGACCATTTAAGTGTTGGTGTCTATTTTATTTATTAAAAAGATATTCAATTATACCTTCACATTAACTTACACATAGAACAGATAACATTGAGGAAAATGATAGTATTTCATGAGAACGATAAAAGTTAACAAATTCAATTGACACTTCTACAAACTAATAAAATATTATTTGTTTAAAAGAGGCAGCATGGTTTTAAAATATAAGTTGATGACAAGCTTACTTCTTCAAATCATTCCAAAGAAAATGTTCCTATTGTGGAAACATTATATTAAAAAATATAATACAAATTATCACCTCGGATGGAAAAAGTCTTCAAGAGGCATATTCAGCCTTCATGATAAACAGTACTATACATTTTATTATATTAATATTATTTAAATCTATAAATTAAGTATAAGTGGTTAAAAACGGAAGCGGGTTTTTGCACTTCTGTAAACGAAAAAAGTCCTTCTAGATAAGATTAACTATATTTAATCCTATTCAACTATTTATTATTAATCTCTATTTCAGTTTTTATTAAATTGTATATAACTATCGAGCAAAACAACAAAGAACTTTATCTATATTAAGACCTCTATTTTTCTGATAAAATACAGAATTTGGACATATAACATCTAAGAGTTACAACCATGATCATTCTTAGTCGGTTGAACACATTGACTCATTTCCACAAATTTTGATTTGGTTAGTTGGTAAATGTATTATCTTTATTTAAAAATTAAGACAAACATCAACTTGTTGCTTTTGATTATGTAAAGTATTGACACAAGAATAACAACAACAATTGTTTTTGTATTTAAAAGGCCTATTTTATCGATATGAATTCAATTATCAAATTAACAATAAAAATAAAAAAATATCAACCAAAATTTTGTTTTAACCTTAGGAAGGAGGAACTGGAAAAAATAACAAAAATTATAGGATTTGAATTTACATCCACTTTTTTTATTATGAAAAAAACTGATGTTGATTAAATATGATTAACATAAAATTTAACTATTTAATGTTAATTAAATTTTATCAATAATATAATATAATAATTTTTGACAAAAAACAATTTTAACCAAAAAAACTAACTAAACCAAATTGGTAAGTTTAATAAAGGATTCCGATTTCAATAAAGAACAGGTCTTTGAACACTCAAAATGATAATTATAATACACTTGTCTCAACAATGAAGCTGGTTGTTTGCTAAAATAAAGGATTTGATGTTTAGTGCTGTTATGAACACTTCCGCGCAATATGTATCAATTGTAAATAAAAAAATAAGTATGGTTTTGATTATTTGTTGATTTTGTTTTTTTGTATAAAAAAATAATAAATAGTATTTTCCAGTTGGTCCCAACGGGAGAGGATAGAAAATAAGTGGATTTGAATCAGTGTTTTAAGGTTAATTTCCATTGTTTGTTAGTATGTATGCATTTTCTTGTATTATATCAAATTAAATATTATATTACTATAATTTACGAACGAGCCAGACTGTTTTTCATTACTTTCTATAAAACATATTACTAACAAATTAAGTGGAAAGTATGAATGTTTTTACGAAATTCAATAACTTGGTAAACTCCGTGAGTTTA